ACTTGTATCCAATGGCTCACATTACTAAAAAATTTGAGCCCTTAGATATAAATGGGATCAATGGATAAGATTAAGAGTGTAACTTACACTGGTGTAAAATGATCCTAATCCATATATATATATATATATATATATATATATATATATATATATATATATATATATATATATATGCAATGCATTTGGCAGAATGTCTGTAAATAGTAGTATGGAGTGTTTGATGATCAATGAGTATGAGATAATAGATTGTAAACTTATGGACTATATGTTATGTAGAAGTATAATTTTTCCTGCGTATTTGACATTTACTCAAGTAAATCATGATGTTTACTCTAGTAACATGCGACCAGAGTGGCCAAATTGTTTTAAGTTTTGAATGCTACTCGATTTTTATGTCTTTTATTGGATTTGCAACAAAATGTCTTATTGGTTAAATAACATTTTTAAAATTTTAAGGATTGCTGGCCACCCTTTAAACCATAGCCGAGTAATAATTGGGTACGCACGACACATTACAAAATCAACGGTCACAATTTTAATGATATATAGTTCTTAAGATAGAGAAGATGAAATAATCATTTTAATTGTTGGTCAATAGTTTATCAATAAATGATTGAAAATTTTGATATAACATGTTCACGTAAAACATTAAAGGATGCATTCTTAATATCTGTATTATATTTTTTTCAATAGTGAGAAAGTGAATGAGAATGAACGGACGTTTTTATTATTTTTCTTCCAAACTCTGCCCATTAAAGGAATACACAACCATTTCCCTCAACTAGGGCTAGGAGAATCGTATGCTTCTATTGCACCAAAATGGTGCATACGGCCAGTTTTATCAAAGCAAAATCTCATTAGGAGCGTAATTTATCCTTATAAAAGTTTTCATTGTTGTAATTTACTCCTTAAAGTTTTGATAAGTAATAATCCACTTCAATTGACTTTCGTTTTTTTGGTTATGGCATAGATAGTCAAAGCTACTTCTAGTTGGCAAGTGGGTAGAGGGAATTTGAATCCGAATCTTTCACCTTATGGGAGCACCCTCAGGCATTTTTATAGGGTGTAGTCCATCAACTTTCTAATTGATATTAGTCATTGAAGTTATAAATAACTAATTTCAATAGAATTAGTCATCTAGACAGATTATATAGTAAATTACGTTAATAAAAATTTAAAATAAATTAAAGTTACCGCAATTTTATTTTTTAGTCTAACCAATTTTTTAATCTTCAAGACGAGGACAAACATATCAGTCATGGGTAATATTTTTCTTATATTACATAAGAGAAATATTATCTCCTACACTCATATTTTTCAAATGAATTTCATAAGAATTTTTTCTCTCACTTTTAATTTTTTTTTCTCTCTTATTTATTATTTGTGTAGGAGATAAATAAGAAAAATCAAGTATACTATCAATGCTAAAAGCTAGTTTTTAAGTGCTTTTTATATGTTCACAAGCGTTGACTGCGTGTGGATGAGGAATATGTGCGATAGAATCCATCTTACAGTATTTTCTTCATTTTTTAGTAAAATAATGATTTTTTTATTATTATTATTTGAAAGTAGGTTAGGTTGGTCAAAAACTCAATATTTTTGGGTTCACACATCAAAATCCTAGAAGCTGGGACTCTTTGATGACGACATTCTAGAAGATTTCCATTTCGAAGAAAAGAAAAAAGAGATCGCGTTTTGCATTTTGTGGCATATGTCTTTCTATCCAGGATCATCAAAGTTCGGGTTTTGGAAGAAAAGAAGAAAAAGAAGGCATCGCTTCATTTCATATTAGTTCCTTTTTATGTGAAACAATATTGGGTATTTAATATTTTGATGTCACAATCACCCTAAGCTCGTTTTAATTTAACTATATTTTTCTTGTACCGTATTTCTCAATCATAAGTTCTATTTATTTATTTATTTAATGAAAGGAAATTTTAAAGAGAGAAATAGATAAGGAAAATCATCAATTTCGAACATATTTATAATCGCGATAATTATCGCTTACGAACTGGACGTGACATGTCATTAATTAATTCTCAACGTATTTGGCCTCTATAGTTGCTTGACATAATTTCTTTTTTAAAAATTCATGATATGTCCACTAGTGTTTGGTTAAACCAAGGCTTTAGATGTTAGCCATACCTAATTACATAAAATAAATATCTCATTTGAAGACTTGCATAGTTGAATAGTTGATCTTATGTTAATATTCACATTACTATGTCAATTGCCAAATTATCAGTTTTATAAGAATAACAATCACATATTTTCTGACGAATAGGTTTTTGCCAAAATGGTGGGCTACACTGACAGATATTGCGTGACAAAGTTCCAACTTTTAGGCGTACAATGGCAATGAATGATAAACGTGTAATGATATCGATGTGAAATTGATTATGTAAACTAGTGGACATGACTGCTCCTGGGTCATCTGGTTTTTGTTCTATGATTCTGATTCGACACTCCTCACAGTAGATAAGAAAGGATGAGGGTAAAGAATATTCATACCAAAAAATATCCTTAAACGAAGTCAACTGCAAATCCTCTACATAATTGCATTTTTATGCTTGGCTTTCACTAAAATTTGATGCAATTCACTGACAGCCACCAAGTTTAAGTGGCTGCAGCATCTTAAAATCCTACCATTTGGTATCGCCATTTATAGATGTTGTCTCAGTTGTGTACAGATACACATGAAAGTGCATAGACTTGGCATTATCTCATGAACAGTTACCGAGTTATAAAATTAACAACTTGTCCAAGAGAATTGAACCTACAGTTTTGAGGAATATTGGGTAGCACACATAAGTTTGTAACAAGAGAAAGTTTGTCAATCAAATGGTAGTAGCTCAGTTGACGTATGAGAGCTGAGCAGACGGAGGTGAGAGGATATTCGATTCTCCTCAGTATCACTTTTGGGGGAGTTTAAAACCTTAATCCTGAATAGTCCCGAATCGAACTTATCGCGCAGCAATGAATCGAGAGAATATTTAAAAAAAAAAAAAAAGTTTGTCATTGCTACATTGTTTGCCTAGTATGAAATAAAACATTAGTTTTGTTAGTCCAAAGCTGCATAATGTTTTATTAGTCCAAAGCTGCTTGAACCAGTCATTCTTCCAGCCCAGTGTACATCCATTTGAACTTCTCTCTTGACTCTTATTTGAGATTGAAATGTAATAGGAAAATGAGATTGAAATGTAATACGAAAATAATCTGTTTTTAATTATTTTTTTACAAATTACACTAAGTATGACCGGTCATATATTCTTGATTGAAGTATGACCGGTCAGACATAGTATAATTTATAAAAGTTTATAAACAAAAAGTTTGTAAATATAACATTTCTCAATAGAATATACCAGCTGTTGATTGGTGATTTTTTATCTAACAGCTGTGAATTGACTATTTTAACCATTTTTTTTTTTTTTGGTACATTGTCAGGAGGTATCCCCATTCAACCTTCTCCGGGCACCATGCCCTCGGGATACGGCCCGTTTGGGCTAGCCCCTCATTGTAACAGTGGGTGCACTAAACCATCTTTAAAGTATAGGACTGTTTGATATGTTTGAAGCATCAAGCAAAATGATTGTTGAACAAGTGAGATGCTAATTACAATAAAACAAAAGTAGCAAGAAACAAAACACTCCACCATAATTACCTTTTAAGTTTCAATGATGTTCCCCTTCGGGACCCTTATAAATAAATTCCATAATAGATGGGTTCTCTGCTATTCATGGCCAACAAGTTCTGTACAATTGTTAATTTCAATTATTTGCATGTTTGACTCCATAATAATATTTGGTTCTTTACTTAATGGGTCTGTCATGTCATGTCCTGTTGCAGAAATTTTGCAACCGTTTTTAATTATGTACTAAGGGTAATACATAGTTATAATATTAAAATTATTTTTTCTTTTATCTTCACGTTAGCAATTTTAATATTTTAACTATGTACTACTACTCTTAGTATATAGTTAAAAAACGGTTGGAGGACAAAAAAACTCATTCTTATAACATAATACTTATATTTCCCTTACTTAATATGAGAGTCTTGACCAAGATAGTTAAAAATGAGATTTTACTTAAAAATGAGAGGAAAATAAAAAATCATAAAACATCAAATTGTGACATAAAAAAAATCATAAAAATATAAAAACGTAGTGATAAATTGAGATTTTAATTATCATAATCTTGACCAATTGATTGTGAGTTTGATTCTCACTTTAATCCTTAAAAAATATTCTTGGCTTAATGGGTCTTTAAATTATCCGTGTTTCATTCTCTAAAAAGGCTTTTGATGATATGGATATGTATGTATTATCTATGCTTCAATCCTACAAGGCTCTAGACCCAAAGGAATGTGTTAAAAATATAATATATAAAAATCATTAAATTAACCTACACTTACAACTTCAGCTTTTGAATTTAATTTACAAATTTAGAATTTATTTAGCCTGCATTTTGTAGCTGCCTATTGAGCCGTGGGACAAGAAATTGAGAAGAGAGAGAGGGCTATCATAAATAGTATAAAAAATAAAAAAATAATATATTAGGCAAGCCTGAGAGGCTCTAAGGCCGAGCTTTTGAATTGGAGCTTGAGACCTTTTTATTAAACGAGCTTTTATACAAGTCCAGGCTGGGTCCAACAATTAATTTTAGACATGTAAACTCAGGCCTTCACGAGCCGAGCCAAAGGCTCCTGTAAGGCCCCTGGCTCGTTTAGCACCCCTACTCGGAATCAATCACATAACCAGCTCAAAGAGACAAACTTGTAAAGATATGTCGACTCACCTCAAATAGGTAATTAAAGTTTGTATATATAAAAAAAAATGCAATTCCACTAAAATGATGAAAAACAAAACTATTATTTTATACGAAAAGATAACGCTTGTTACTTCATGTACTTTTGGAATTAGCTAGCATCTTACATTGGATTATTTTCCCGCCGGGGAAACAAATTGAAATGAATTTATATACAATTCTGTTTTAAATACGATCATGAAAAAATTTATAGATTTGAATGAATCATGACATTCCATCGTGAATTGAAAAGTTGGAGTTGCTGAAGACCTTGCACGACTAGTTCATATAAGAGTTTTAATTGGATTAAGTTGGGTATTAGCGAGTTGATAGTTCCATGGGCCTCCATTGCTCCCATCTTATTATTTGTAAGCAAAAGATAAGTCTGCCCATTGCTATGCTGTGTAGTTGCGCTTTACTCCCTGTAAAACAAAATAAACGATAAGAGGCATAGTAATATTTTTTACTAACATTTTGCTCATTTTTTAATAGGAAAGAATATTAAACTGGTTGTGCGATACATTACAATTTATACGAGAAAAAATGCCTGAACAATTAAAACCTAGATTAACTTCTATGCAAGTTTTTAAAAGTCTAGCTATGTATCGATTTGTTTTACTATTAACAATTGTATCCAATAATAAATTACAGGGAATATCAAAAAGTCTGCCGCAAAGTAAAAATGAAGTGAGTCCATCATTTAATCAGTTTCTCTCTTCTTATAGGTTTCTTTCTCTTTGATTTACTTTATGTGGCAGAATTTTTTTTTTCTGCCATAGATGCAGAAATGATATTCCCTAAATTATAATGTAAACTTTTTGATCTGTATGTAAAATATAAGTATCATATATTAAATGAGAAAAGTGTATTTCTCCTTTCACAAAAAGATAAATATAAATGTCATATATTAAAAATTGTATCCAATACCAAACCCATATTAAATAGGTAGCTATACTTATTACTTAAGATCTCTATGCAAAAAAGAAATATTTTCAGTAGAAAGAAAATAATATCTGAAAGGTCTCTCAGAAAGATCAGATTGAAAAATGTTTTCACTGGCGTGCAAATCTACAAAGCTTGTGAAAGAAAAAGACTGATTATTACATTTGTACCCCAAAACTATAATACAATTCACAGAACTTGCTCAACAATCAACGTAGAAAGAACATGTAGGAAAGTACTAACAGCAGCAACCTTACCTCACATGCACTTATCCTAAAAGCACATTGTTAGATATATGAAAACTGGTATTAGAGCTTACACAATCAAGTGGTCAAAAATTCCATTTTTGTCATCTCCGCTCTTCTATGAAGGTTAAATTCCAGCACAACGTAAAGTAAGTCTAAACTTTGAGCCTTCCTTCACCTGAGTTTGAGATGGCGTGTTAAAATATATATGAAACCAATTTTGAACCTTCACCTGAAAGTTCAATTTTTTACTGAGAGTTGGTCCTTTACACATTCTGTAGAAAAGCCTGAAGTCAGTTTCTCAATCATCCTGAAGATTGAAATATTGATGGTCTTCCCATTAAAGTAGTAAAAGTAGAACACAAAACAACTAAAGAAAATTATTAATTTAATAGGGCATGAAAGTGACAATACTTAAACACTGAGCATAAAGCAAATCACTAATTCAGTACTCAAATCTCAAAGCTCAACTTACATGATGAAAAAGATTGAAGCAAAATGAACAGTGAGATAGCTTTCAACACAACAAAAATAATCAGGATCCAATCCCGTACATTTAGTTAAAGACCACCAATTGAATTTCACTTGCCTGCCATCTCCAAAGCTACCTACATTTTGGCAGTCAAAACACAAAACCATAGAGCACTGCAAAGAGCACCAAGCATTAGTGCTGTAAATCCACATGGTTCCTCAAGTTATTTCCCAAAGCTCAATCCAGGTGCTATAAAGCTCCATGCACAGGGTTCAGGTAGCCTCATCTTGCATTTACAAGAGGCTGATTATATGATTCAAACTTTTGACCTCTGGATCACGCGGCAAATAACACCAAAAACAATAGTATACTCCCAATCCTAATTAAACAAGAAAACAAATCATGAAATATAAGAAAATATGAAAACCAAACCTAGAAGATCATTTAAGATACACTAAACTATTTTAAGATATAATCACGACGTTATACGATCATTTCTTGATATTCTAACAACCTTTATCTAATGCCAATTACCAATTTTAATAATTAAAATGAAGAAGAGAAGAACTTAATGCATTTAGAAAAGTGTTTCGAACCCTTTAATCATGTTGGTCTGAAGCTGCTTAGGAATTACATCTGTGCTAGACTTCAACAAATGGGTGGTTTTGGCCTTGAAGACTACGAACACACTTGTATAGTCAGGAGCTTTTCATCATGTTAGAAAGTTACCTTGTCCAATTAAATGACTACATATGACAAATATGTTCTGGATACAACCAACTAAAGAAGTGGGTAAGAATCCTTCTTACCTATAGGCTAGAACTAAGGGTAGCATAACCAATGAGCAAGGATATAAATGTTTCATTCAAGATAGTTTAGCATTCAATGTCAACAAAAATGGTCAGATACTGTTTTAGTAATTAGATAACCATGGAGAGAAACTATCCGTTTCAATAATATGTCCTTTTCTGTTCACGGCTATGCAATATGAGGAAGTTTTATCAAAATCCTTTTAGAAAATGCTTTAAAAACAGTACAAAAGAATACACAAATAACTGCAAATTATAGTGAGATTCTTGAGATCTTTAATTAATAGCTGTCACATGACAAGTCAGGATCAGAAAATTATTAATTATTACATATATTACATACACGAAATAAAACCCTTTTTCAAATTCTTTATACTCATAGTTTGGGGTCCTTGGATTTGCAGCCACCAGTTTGTAGATTGAACCAAAACCTCTGCCACGAGGTATTGGAGATGAAAACAAAAGAAGAGATAGATAGAGAGGGTCCCGCCATTTGTAAAACACAATGTGTCCTTTTCTCTCCTACGGCACTTGTCATCAATAAATATCAATCCAAAACATTAATGACGAGGACAAGGTGTAACCTTTCTGCTAAAATAGTAGAACATACTATCTACAGTGCAAAAAGATTCAAAATAGCTAATTCAACAAGAGCCTAGAGCATTTGATTGAGAATCAATTTGGAACTATAATTCTGATTCTGTCAATGGTTTAAGTAAGAAACCCCAATCAAATCATGCTAAAGATTATAGTTGTTAATGCCATATGTTCCCAACCATCGACTGGTACAAAAGACAAAAGTTGGGATGTTTCCTTCACCAGCTTAGTATAAATTAAATGCATACCTTTCAGATTTATGGATTTGCCCATTGTGAAGTGAATCGCCTGCAAATTTCCTGAACCTTCAATTTCAATTTGTCAAATTCGGGACAGTTCCTAGCAATATTTATGAAAAAGAAAGACCAATAATTAAATCTGTACCCCATAACTATATATACATTTCACAGAACTTGCTCAACATAGAAAGAACATGTAGAAAAATAACTACAGCACCAACATTACATCACATGCAATTATCCTAAAAGCACATACTGAAGAAAAGCCTGAAGTCAATGTATCAATCATGCTAAAGATTGAACATTGAATGTCTTTCCATTTAAGTAAGAGTAGAACACAAGACAACCAAGGAAAAATATTAATTTAATAGGCCATGAAAGTGAAAATACATAAACACTGAACATAAGGCAAATCACTAACTCCATACTCAAATCTCAAACTCCAACTTGCATCATGAGAATAAATGGAAGCAAAATTGACAGTGAAATAGCTTTCAACACAACAAAAATGACTCATGGATCCATTGGCAATGCCTTGATCCCATCCATAAATTTAGCTACAGACTATCAACGAAATTTCACTTGCCTGCCATCTCCAAAGTTACATACATTTTTGCAATCGAAATTCGAGATCAAGATCACTATAAAGAGCCCTGTTAGTGTTGTAAATCCACACTTTCCTTAAGATAATGCTCAAAGCTCCTCTTAACAACTTCATCAGTTCATAAAAGTGATTCCAAGCATTGAATCGTGTTGGACAGAATCAGCTTCCGAGATTCTCCTGCAGTTGACATATTTTCAAATGTGGTTTTAGCCTTGCAAACACCAAACACACACTCATACTGTTGAGCTGTTCATTAGGTGAGATAGAGGTCGTGTCGCACAAAATATGCACAACACAAAATAAAAGGAATTGACAATATATATATAGGTTCGATTTTTCTACAGCCGCTTTACGTACAGTAGTGACAATTTTTCCATATATATAGGTTAAAGCATTTAATGTGGGGAATCATAACCATACAAAAGGTGAAAGCATTAAATGAGGGAAATCATAATCATAACCTGTCATTGCTGCACGTACAACAACTTTAGATATGATTTTACCAATATATATAAATATATATATATACATATATATATATATATACATATATGATGTACGTTAATATGTTTTCATCATCATCATCAAGAAGTTGAACAATGATAGGGCCTCCAAAATTAACCCAAGTACGGCAAGTTGTGTTGGTTTGCTCAGAAATTATTCCGGTTACCGGCTCCACGGCTTTTGTTGGTAAAATTGGATTCTATTGTTATTATGAGGCAGAAATAGAACTATGAAGTGTTCTTAAAAAGGCCTGTAATTCTTTGCTTCCAAAGAATACTAGTAGACTGTCATTCTAGAGTCCTAGTTGATACACTCAACAAAAATTTAAATGATTCTGCTGGTGCTACTCACGTGCATAGGTCTATGGGAGTTGCTATAGAGAAGGAAGCAAACAGTTTGGAGCTCTCCCTCTGTCTGAGCGCTCTCTTTTGCTCTCTGCTGATAGTTTAGGGTTTTCCAAGTCCCACATGGTCCATGCCTTATTTGTTAAGCTATCTTTCAGCCATTTGGGAAAAATGATATGAATAATTTTAGTCATTAGATCAACATGATGGGAAATTATCCATGTTCCAATTGTATTTCCTTTTCTGTTAACATATATGGAACATGAGGAGTTTTAATCAAACCTTTCTAGAAAATGCTTTACACCTTTACATCAATACAACTAATCAGCAGAAAGAGATCCAATCAATCACTAAAGTTAAGTTTACAGTGCCCCCATCTAACCTTAGGAAATACAAAAAGCATTAAAATTATACCCAGAATGGTACTAAAGAATGCACAAGTAATTTCAAATCACAGTGAGACTTTCAAAATCTTTAATTATTACTGTCACATGATAAGTTGGGATCAGAAAATTATTATTACAAAAACTGGACACAAAAAAGAATAATCAAAACCTTCCTATATATTCTTTACGTCTATAAAACTTCTTAGAAGATGAAGAGTAACTAGCTTATGTTCTCCCATCTCAACTACAAAAAGAAGGGGGGGAAAGGAAAAGAGATGAAGTTATACCCAAAAATAGCAAAGGATGCTCAATTAAATACAAATTATAATGACAAGAGTTTTCTCAAGATGGAAAACTACAATTGTCTCAACATTCCATGACAGATTTTGGTCAGTGAAACTTTAACTTGTTTCATAAAGAAAAGAGAAAATGATCAAATCTTTATAAGTGTGTTAGAGAGATCATCTCAAGATAATCCCAAAAACAATAGAATTTACTGAAAAGCTTAAGAAAATAAAAAACCAATTAGTATCATCCTCCAATAAAGTGCACGATTTTGACATATTCAGACAGCATTTGGATCAAAGAGGGACGGGCGTTCAATGATTCAAATTACAATTAAAGCATCTAATTACCTCATAAAAAAAGTTACACAGTAAAGAAACACTGCCATAGGCTCTAGAACCAGTAATATTCTTAGAAGAAACTTAAGTACCAACATCATGTGTGGCAAGCAAAGACAGCACAACTTGAAAGTGACCAAAATTGCATTTTACTTGGAAAATTTCAAGAGAAATTTCATAAAATACTCATGCAGAGCCATTGCCATCATGTCATGACAAAGAAAGACTATAAAATGCATCTACCTATTTCATCACAGCTCACTATAAAGTGGCCACTTGAATTTTCAAATCTACTTAAATCCTAGAGGGATGAGTTCAATTTTACAGCAAACCTTGAGCAGCATAAAAGTTTCCATTGTACATAGAAAATTTCAAGTGAACTTTCATAAAGTACTCATGCAAGCCATAATCAACATATCTAGGAAAAGGCTGACCAACAAATGCATCTAGTTATTTCATCACAGCTCCATACCAAAAGGCTGCTTTGAGTTGCCAAATCTACTCAAATCCTAGAATGATAGAATGACCTCCCACATATATTCATCACTACATTCCCACAAAAGAAGTTATAGATTTCCCTTTTATAATTTTAATAGGCATTAACATGCAAAAGTGATTACATAAAGGATAACCATATATTTATGCAGGTTTAGGACTAACACATACCTAGTTCAGTCGCTAAACTATCCATAACATTTAATCAAAATTAAAAATCTTCTTCTAACCTTGACACAACGGTTGGTGTTGTCGGCATGTGACCCTGAGGTCATAGGTTTAATTCATGTAATCGGTCTCTTGCAAATGCAAAATAAGGCTGTCAACTATAGGCCATTCCCTGGACCTTGAAGCATGGGTCAAAATGGAAGACAGTCACTACCTTACGGTCATTTAGTGTTGCAGAACTAAGGGTTCTGTGGGCATCGCCTTGCTAGTCACTACACGAAAGCATAAGATATTTAGGGTTGTGATGATGTCTCAAGTTTGGTTTCAGCAAAAGGCACTTAGATTTCTCACTATGCTCGATGACTGTTTTTAATTATACTTTGAAACCTTAGTTTCACATCAAATAGTCCAGGACTCCTAGAAATGAACTCCACCCTTTATAATATGCCTTAAAAGATACCAATTAATCAAAGAATTAACATGTTTAAATAAAGAAATAAAGCACCCCTTTTTTGGTAGTTAAAACACCCCTTTTAATCTCCATTGGTTTTTGCTTAAAAAAAGTGTAATCATTCCATTCCACTTATTTTATTTTTCTTAGAAGTTCATGCAGGTAGAATTTAAGTCATTATGGTTCAAAAATTTCAAACAAGTATTATACACAACTGCTGGAACAAGCAGACTATAAATCTTGGATTTATTCTCAAAATGTAATTTCTATATGTACGTAATGATAAAACAAAAGTAGCAATGTTAATGAACACGCATGCAGTAATGTCCAACAAATAAGACATTACACGTTGCAATACAAAATACAGGGAAATGGGGAAGGGGGGAGGGGGGGAATCCTGTTAATAATTCCTTCGCATCTCTGCACGTCACTTCAATATCATTACATACTCATAAATATGTAATCGAGTGTGAAGAGTGCACACATATTTTGTATATCTTACAATTTTATATTTTATATTTCACTCTTTTAGACTATCATCACCACTTATTTCACAATTTATTTTTAGCTTCCATGCAACTGTTTGTGGGAGACATTACCCAAGTAACTATACCCAACTGCATTATCAAAGGTATTAAGTTTCTTTTTAGGTTTCAATGGGTGGGGATTTGTGTAAAAGGCAATAGGTCCAGTCATGGAAAGGACTCCTTGATGTATGTGGGAAGAAAAAAGAAAGAAAATGAAAAAGTGGGGGGAAAAATACTTGAAGGGAAAACTTAATCAAGATAAGCAAGAAAATAATGAGCACTTTTCCATTGCCAATGAACTTACAGCATAGTTGCTAGATATAGAACTAAAAGAAACATTGATTTTGAGAAAATGTTGGGAAAAAACAACTGTGCACTTGTTCTCTTAACAATTTGATCTTTCTTCTCTATTCTTACTAGTGAGATTACATCATGGTTAAGTCTCTCTTTGCTAAAACTTGAACTACACTAACATCACAGATTCTCTATTTGATTATTTAACCTCATCTCCCGAAAACCTCCTTAGCTACTTTGAAAAGCAACTCTTCACCAGTAATGTCCTGCAAATGTTTCATGAAAGTACTTCTGACCATCTCCCTTCGAGTCTAAACCATGCCACAGAGAGTTGCAAAGAACCACGTTATTTCTTTCAAGCAGTAACATTAAGTATTGTAACATATGATCAATATGAAAAAATAAAATAAAAGCAACAAGCAACACTTGCCTTGAAAGAATTATATAAATTCCCAAGTGCACCGACCCTGGACAATGGTATACATTTCTTCAACTCTAATATCAGCTTTGGAAACCCAGCAGGAAATTCATAAGAGTATTCGTTCCATCGCACTGAGAAACAAAATAGAAGAATTGACATACAATACACAAAAATTCATAAAAGGAGAAAGAATAAAGTGTCTGTCACATTCACCTGGCTCAACAGCAGAGGTTTTGCAGCTGACGACGCACATTGGGAGTATACGTCTATTGATATCATTGTTCCACACCATATACCACTTAGGATCACAAGGATCGTTCGAGCCGGTATCATATTCCTCACGGCAAGGACCAGTCAGATTAAACTCTAACTCCATTTTCTCCACGCTTCCAAGCACAACACGGCAAAGAATAAGATGCTTCTCACCGTCTTTATCCACCTGACACTGCGTAGCACTGCAACACAATTCATCAATTGGGTGACTTTTACACTGCGTAGCACTGTAATAATCACAATTAAACAAAAAAAAGAAGAAAACTTTTAAGTCAATCATATAAGTACCTGTAATTGGGTGACTCTAAATCAGCCAAACACATACCAGCTCGAATTGATAGCGGCAACCCAAAACTGATCCGAGGCAAACTAAACCCATGAGAGAAAATAGACGCAACTGTCTCTTTTGTAGCAGCATACCAACCAAAAACAACATTGGCATCACCACGCACGCGTCTTGTTGTCTCAATCTCCTTCTCAAGAACTAACCAGCGAGCTCTGGCAAGTGGTTCCGAGATTTGAAATTCATGAATGTCGGTTATAACGGCTCCATTGTCAAACTTGGCCATGTTGTTCAGAAACAAACTGCTGAAGTAGGCGTACGTCTTGTCATTCTTGCTCAACAGCTTCGCATTGGGAAATTTCGAGGTCGGTGTCAAACGCAGCCGTTTTAAAGGACCCGAAAAATGACCCTCCTCACTCACCATCTTCCCCTTTCCCTTTCGATCAGTTATCACAGGTTGCGCATTCTCAGAGAAATCATGATGAAGGAACTGCTTCGGGAAAAACGGCGTATTTTTGTTGTCTATCCAAGCAATGGACCTTTGTTCTCCACAACCAAGATGAACCTGAACCATGCGAGCAAAGTCAATTGCATACTTCACTCCTTCGATTTCTAACGGCACAACCGCCTTGCCCTCCAAGAAACCAGACCGCATGGACTCCACGGCTTCGCCGTTAAAATCCTCCCAGAAATTCCGGCGGAAGAACATGATCCTGTACGGAGGACCACTGCGCTCGAAGTTGCGCCCGTTCTGGACAATTAATCCATCGCAACAACAAACGCAATCACGGTTAACAACTAACGGAGGCGGCGACGGCGTTGGAGCAGCCGGAGTTGGAGCCGCCGGCGGAGATGGTGGACTCTCCCTCGGCGGTGAACTCGGTTGCTCCATGATTAGCAAAACAAAACCTACACAGAAAGAATCTTAACGACTAGTTTGAAGAACTCACGCACAGTAACACTGTTTCATCAGAAGCTTGTTATATAGATGAGGAGTTCAGATTACCAATTAACCTAAGTGGACCGGTTCATCTACGTGTCTTCCTGCGCTGGAATGGAGGGGTATTTTAGTAAATCTAGCTTGTGTTATTAACAGCTCTTTGTCTTTGGCCCGAAGAAAACCAGGGGAAGGAAGAAAAATACACAAGGCGCGCTCTTATTTATTTATTTTTTATTTTTTATTTTTTATTTTTTTCTGTGATGTAACAGTAACTTTAACCTCACTAGCATTAAGTAACCTTAGGTGCTTTTGTAGTATCACGAAAATTTCAACTTGATGTCGCCTGCATCCTTTATTGCCATTTAAAATGTAAGAAATAATATATTGTTTATTCTCTTAAAAAATTATATATATTTAATGCCAACTACTTCTTCCCCAAAATTTTAATAATACCATATGTAAAATAATAATAAACTTCCTCCTCAAGACTTTCCATTCAAAAAATATTTTTATAAAAATGTACATAAAAAAGGTAAATTCCCATCCTGTTGACGGGTGAGATTTTTTTCTTTTCTTGAAAAATATGTTGACAATTTTGCTTTTTCCATGTGTGTAATGCAAAATGACAGCTTATGAGTTTATTTTGTACAAATAGGAATTTGTTAATTCTGGGTAAATGAGAAAATTCGTGTCAAAAGAAAACTCCATTATTATGTAGAGAATATTAATTTCCTTCTAAATACTCTAAGTTGGTGATTTTATATTTTTATTAAATATAATAAAAGAATCACGACATAACGCTTGAATTAATTTTTATTATTTATTTATTTTAATATTAAATAATAAAGTTGGTGATATTAAATTGAATATTTTATTACTATTAATTATAATTCTATTTCATATAACAATCCTTACTGTAAAAATAAAAGAATCAGGACATAACGCTTGAATTAATTTTTGTTATTTATTTATTTTAATATTCAAAATTATTGAAGACACGTAGCATTCAAATATAACTTTTTTAGAAGAAAATAAAAATAAAAATTTAGTAACAAGATAAATTAAATCTATAAATTAAAATAAAAAAACATGACTTGGAAATTTTATACATTCAAAAATTGAATCACTAAACACACCGGTATATTTCATAAATTATGCAATTTACATTATTTTTAAAAAGTCAAACGATTTAAATCTATATATAAATATGCTGTTTTAGATTGAGAATAATTAATTTCAATATGTAAAAATTAAAATTACATTTTTATATTCTATATAATAATTAGATCTACATAAATTGTTAATATACAAAAATATTGAAACTTACTTGCAATGTTAAATCTCATAAAAAGGAAATAAAATATTAAATGTATGCAATACATATTTCTTTTTTATTTTCTTGTAATTCATTGAGTAATTAATAAGACTAATATACTAATATTTTAAAAGAATATAGTAATTGATATAATTATTAATATATTTATTATTTTATAATTGAAAATTATATCTTTTCATTTAAGTCAAATTTTCATTATAATGATGATCATACTAAATAACATAAAATAAAATCCACAATTTGTCATCACAAAATTGTTGGGTTTTTTTTAATGGTATTACGATCTTTCAGCACAAAGTACTTTTATTTAATTTAATTTTGAAAATTTTATCTAGACTAATGCAGTCAATCCTGCACGTCAACTCTGCAGTATTTAGTCCAATGTGAAAGTTTTATACCAGTGTACGAGACTCTTTAAGTCCCATGTTACAAACGTACAGTACTAATATCGTACTTCTGCAGTTCAAAACTTATAAAGACGAATGAAAGGAGAAAATTAGGGGATTTGTGTAATTTTCGAAATTGAAGTTATATCATCAGAAATGCGGAAGCGCATCGTACCGATGTGATGAGGAATGAAGAACACCGCTTTGATTACCTGAGATGAAGCAGCAAGCGTGACAATTTCTCACTTTCTGTTCTCCTCCTCAAGCCTCACGATCTGGAGCAACGCACCACAAAGGGTCGCAATTCCGCTCTGCGGTTGATCTTCCAGGCTATGACTCAAGGGGATCATGTGGTCGTGTGGGCAACCGTTCAGATGATGAACGTCAAAACAGAAATTAAAAAGGGGGTTTTTGGAATTTTGGTTGAATAATTTAAAAGGCAGAATATGAAATTGGATTTAAAATTCGTAATTAAAAATAACCAACCTAAGGTTTGGGTTCCATGGATGTCTTTCTTCGGATAAGAAAATATCAGAATCGTGATTGATTTGTCAATCGAATCAGAATCCTTATTTCCAATTGACAACCCTCTCTAAGCGATCGCTTAACATTTGATCAAATACGGTGCTTCTACTCATACAATCGCAGAGTATCAGCCCGCTTGATTTAAGGTCATAGGGTCAATCTGTAGGAAATCTTAGATTTATGCGGAAGCGATTTAGGACCTAGTACATTTGTATGCTTACTGAATCATCCTTGTTTCACAATTACCTCTCGGTGCGCAGGTCTCGTATAGAATCTTCCCTTGTAGGATTCCTCTTCACGAACAGTTCACCTCAGCACCGCAGCACGAACAACCTCCTTGAAGCTGGACTGTGGCAGATCTTCCAAACTATCTCTCGAGGAGGAAGGGGAAGTGTGTGGGCACTGATTAGATTCTGAGCTTGCCTCTTTCTCACAAAAAAGACCTAGGAGGCTGATGACTTAAGAGGTACTATTTATATGGGTTCCAAGAAACTCTAGCTCATTGGGCTCTAGGTTCCTTGGGCTCTTCTCATACTAATAACCCAATTGGGTTTTAGTAAAAGAGAAAACCCAACAATCTCCCACTTGCTCTTTTGGATACAAACTTGAGTCGTAAAACCCAAGATCATGTAACCCATAAGTCATCATCTATCCGAAAAATACCCCATCCCTTGTCTCAAGCTAGCTTGGGGATCTACCATCTGTTATTAATCAAGGCTCCTGATAATCAACGAATGATTATCTAATTCGGTGCTACTCCACTAAAAGCCCGAACTTGAACTCCAAGATTAACAACACTTATAACATGAATATGCATCGCCCCTTTGTAGAATGTCTATAATTGATTGACAAGTTTTCTGTAACTCAATCAATTATTTATTCCCTTGACTATGATAGTTTCTCTAATGGATTACATGCACTGGCCAGTGTCTTTAATATCCAAGTACCGAAACATATCAAGGGGACATATCCTACAAATTCCATGTTGTTTATCTCATAAATATCGATAATCAAATAATCCACTCCCAAAATACCGAGTTATTGGTCGTCAATAGATCGAACCTCACCCGTTGGTAAATCAAAGAATGAAAACTATTTGATTACCTATTTATAATAAACTCAGGATTAAGAGCAATCACATAACTATAGTTAACTGGAGATTTGATACCTTATGACAGAAAAACAACCTTAATCAAATCTCTCCTTGATCCTTTCAATGTGAATGTTAATTCACGCCAATATTTTACAATGATTCGGACAAAATCATTTCATAAAATATTGCAGCCTGAATAAAGTGCCCAACTTTATTTAACAGCTGTGACTCCATTCATCAATTGTGAGATCCTATGATCATGTCCTCCATGAACGTATCCATATGATCATATACTCCACAATTTGATCCGGACCTTTATGTTTGTAAATAGTGCGCAAAATAAATAAATAAAACCTTATTTATGAAATTCAGAAAATGATTCGATTGTTTCATCGTCTTATTCCAAGAGCACAATAAAACCAATAACTCTCACTTGCTTAATGCAAGTTTGGGATCCTCCTAAGACCCAAAGAAGTAACATGTCTCTCGAACACAAATTCAGGCAAACTCTTAGTAACTGGGTCTGCAAGATCCACCTCTAATGCTATCTGAGTTTAGTGAAAAATTCAAAGCTCGAGGTTGATTTTCTTGAGTCAATATCCACTTGAAATAACTGAATTTTTGAAAACTCAACTTTTCAAGACTCCCACTAGAATATACCAGCATATAATCTCTCGTTCTCCAAAGATACTTGAGTACATGCTTAACAATAATCTAGTATTCCTCTAGGTTCAAAATGTTACTATCTCACTACTCCCACTACTTGACAGATGTCTGGTTTAACACCCAACATGATATGCGTGAGTCTACCTTTGCCAAAGCATGAGATATCTTGCTCATGCATTCTTCCTTCTTAGAAGTCTTTGGTCACTCCTTAGGAAGATGAATTCCACATCTGAGAATTATAATTCTTCTCTTAGAATTCTCATGTTGAATTTTGGGTTTTGTCAATGTAAGTAGGCTGAGGTAATGCCAACAACTTATTCTTCCGGCCTCATAAGAGTTTTATACCAAGAATATAATTGGCTTCCCCAGTACTTCCATACCAAAACACTAACTTAGCCAACTCTTTATGCTTGATATTACCTCCACATTGTTTCTAATAAGGAGCATATCATCTACATAAAGTACCAGAAAAGCTATTGTCTTCCGTTGTATCCTTTACATACAAATACACATCATTGATCAAGGTTCTCTCAAAATCAAAATTTTGATAACCTGATCAAAACTGATGTTTCAAGACCTGGGTGCTTGCTTAAGTCTATGAAATAGACTTTCACAACTTGCATACCGTGTGTTCCTACTCATTTGCTATAAACCCTTTTGGTTGTTGTATGTAGATATCCTGACATCCAGCTCCCAAAATGAAATCTCATAATTGAGACTTATAGCAACTAAGAGAATCTGGATAGACTCAAGCATGGCGTCTGGCAAAAATTGCCTCCAAGCTAGCTTTGAAGGTTTTCACCTTTCTGTCCATCCTCTCTTTGTCTTTTATGTCCACATGCACCTTGTGGGTTTTACCCCTCTTGGCGTCTTTACTAGGACCGAACGGAGTTGAAATACAAGTATTTCATCTCATTGTTCATAGCCTGAGCAACTCTTGATCAACATCTTCTAGTGCATTAACGTAACTAGT